GTAGGGTAACAAGGGAACGTGTTCAGTGCAGATCAGTGAGTAAGCACAAGCCCGCCTTGTTTCAGTGCCTATGCTTAAACTGCCAATAATGCTGCTAAATTCCATTCAGAAATCAAAACAAATAGTGATTTTAAAAAAAAAACACCTCACTGCCATAGAGTCGATTCGACTCACAGCATCCCCTCCTTGGGGTTCCAAGGTAGAACCTGTGCGGAAGTAGACTGCCCAATCTTCCTTCCAAACAATTAGTGATAATACTGGCTAAATTATCAAGCATCTTTTCTATGTGCCAAATTCTCTTCTAAACTTTGCAACAGTGCTATATGGTAGATACCACTGACATTATCATCCTTTTGCAGAAAATGACACTAAGACGCAGAGAAGTTAAGTAACTTGTCCAAGGGCGCACAACTAAAAATTAACAGTCAGGATTGAATTCCCAGCAATATAGTTCTGGAGCCCATACTTCTTAACCAGTACACGTGTTACTCTTAAAAATGAAATGGTTCAAAGGAATTTTAACTCCTTGAAGAATTAGTTGTTTTCCCTTAGCCTGAGATCTTTTGATCAGACTCTGGTACAATGCAAAGAGCAGAGACTCTCTCATCAATACCAAATAATTTTGCTGTTTCACCCTTAAAGTCACTACTTCCTCCATAGCAACTTCCAGACCCTACGGAAAGCAAGAAATAAAGCATATGCAAAGCAATTTATCATCGGTAGTCATGCTCTCTGGAGAAGGATATCCTGCTTAGTAAAGTAGAGGGCCAGAGAAAAAGAAGAAGACCCTCAATGAGATGGACTGACACAGTTTTGCTACAACATGAACTGACAGAGTTGCTACAGCAATGGACTCAAATAGAGCAACGATTGTGAGGGTGGTGGAGAACTGGAAAGTGTTTCTTCTGTTGTGTGTAAAGTCACTATGAGTTGGAATCAACTCGATGGCACCCAGCAACAACATTCATGCTCTACCTGCTCCCCTATTTGCCCAGGACAGCAGAGTTACAGATCTCCTTGCATGGTTCATGCAGGCCATAGAACAGATCATCTGGAAGGACATGCTAATATGTCCTTCCACTGTACTCCAGGAGATTTATTATGCTGTTTTCACAGAACTGATATGATTGAGTTAGGATAGCACCTGGAGGCATATATTGCCCACTCCTGACTCCTATTTCCCCAGGCTGGTGAAAGTTAAAGGGAGTTAGTTATACATTTATTGAAGCAGCCTGTCTAGTCATAAACATTTTCACAAACACTTTTGTAAATTTAAAAATGAAAAAAAAGCAACCATTTTGTGAGCAGATTATAAAAAAATAACTGTGCCTTTATTTCTCATATATTTTTTACAACTGATCCAAACCAAACCAAACCCACTGCCAGTAAGTCTATTCCAACTCATAGCAACCCTCTACAACAGAGTAGAACTGCCTCATAGGGTTTCTAAGGCTATAAATCTTTAAGAAAGCAGCCTGTCCCACACAGTGGCTGCTAAGTTCAAACTGCTGATGTTTTTTCCAATTTTATTTTGCATTGGGTGCAAATTTACAAAACAAAATTTGTTTTATATTCAACAGTTTGTATACACTTGATTTCACGCCCCAGTTACTATCCGTGACCGTAACAAACTCTCCTCCCCTCCCTTCCCTGTGGCTACCCCCTCCCTGTGCCCTTCTTAACTATGCACTCCTGTCTGTCCAGCTTTCCCTGTATGTGAATGCTGCCCCTCTGGTGCCCCATGGACTGTTGCTCTAAGGGGTGTATCTCCCTAGTGTAGGTGGGTGCATTGCCCTAGGGTAGGTGTTCTGCATGTTGATCTTTCTACTGTTGGGCTCAGAGCCAATCCTTGGGAGGGAGTCCAATTCTAGGCCCGAAAAGTAACCCATGGCCATAGTCTTGGGGGTTCCACCAGACTCCATCCTACCAGTTATTCTGGTCATTTTTGTGTTTTTGAATTTTGTTCCACATTTTTCTTCCCACTCTATCCAGGATATCCAGTTTTATCCCCTTGTGAGTGATTGGCATTAGTAGCTGGGCACCGTCTAGTTCTTCTGGTCTCAGGGTCCATCATATCTTTGGACTAATTGTTTGCAGATACCTTTGATTGTCTTCACTCTTCTTTGCTTCAGATGAGAGGAGATCAATAGTTGCATCTTAGATGGCCGCTCAAAAGCTTTTTTTTTTTTTTTTTTAAATTAACTAGAAGATTGGCAGTTTGAATCTACCCAGTGATTGCTATGGAAGAAAGGCCTAGTTCTTTCTTTCTTTCTTTCTTTTTCTAGGAATGTAAATCTCACTTTTTTAAAAATTGTGCTTTGGGTGCAAATTTACAGAGCAGAATTTGTTTTACATTCAACAGTGTGTGTACATTTGGTTTCACTCCCCTATTACCATTCCCAACCCTAACCCACTCTCCTCCCCTCCCTTTCCTATGACTCGCCCCCTCCCTGTGCCCTTCTTAGTTATGCACTCCTGTCTGTCCAGCTTTCCCTCTGTGTGAATGCTGCCCCTCTGGTGCCCCATGACTGATTGCTCCAAGGGGTGTATCTCTGTAGAGTAGTGGGTGCATCACCCTGGGTTGGGTGTTCTGCATGTAAGCCTTTCTACTGTTGGGCTGAGAGCCAGAGTCCTTGGGAGTGAGTCCTATCCCAGGCCCAAAGTATATCCTAGGACCATAGTCTTGGGGGTCCCATCAGACTCCATCCAACCAGTAATTCTGGTCGTTATTGTGTTTTTGAATTTTGTTCCATGTTTTTCCTTCCACGCTATCCAAGATCTCCAGTCTTGATCCCTTCCTGAGTGGTTGGCATTGGTAGCTGGGCACCAACTAGTTCTTCTGGTCTCGAGGTCCATCTAGTTCTTCTGGTCTTGAGGTTCATCATATCCTTGAGCTAATTATTTCCAAATGCCCTTGATTTTCTTCACTCTTCTCTGCTTCAGATGAGAGGAGACCATTAGCTGCATCTTAGATGGCCGCTTGAAAGCTTTTTAGACCCCAGTCGCTACTCACCAAAGTAGGTTGTGGAACAAGTTTTGTATGTTCTATGTTGTGCCAGTTGAGCTTGGTGTCCCCCAAGGCTATGGTCCTGAGTCAGCAAGCCCAGTAATTCTCTCTCAAGGTATTTGGTTGTCTCTAAGAGATTATTCTAACTCTGACTTCTGTTGCTTCTGCTGACCTTTTGATTAGCAGCTAAGTACTTTAACCACTGTGCCACTAGGGCTTTTTTCAGAACTGATAGAAGTAAAAGCCATTATGTGGTACTTAGACCAAGAAGCAGAAACTCTGCTGAGGAATTGGGGGTTTTCCCCATTTCCCTCCCTAATGAGGCGAAGCTGTGTTCAGGTTAAGGCATGTTGAATTTGAAATAACAACCCACTCAAGTTGAGATATCCAGAAATAAATATCATGACTTAAGAAAGAAGCCACACTGAGATTAATAAATGGCATTTATTGCCTTGAAGGGAAAGGGATGTGGTCATGATACATAGGCCACTTGGTGCTCTCCTGGATGCTTGTCACGGACACAGCAGAGCCCCCACTTTAGAAATTGTCACTCCTTGCTCTCTCTTCCTGGGGGAGCCCCAGGATTCCAGCAGCTTCTGTTCTGAGAAGGAGAGACCCTGAGCAGAAGGGTGAAAAACCTGAGCACCCCCTGCTTGGATGGCCAAAGTTGTTAGCAGTCAGGCTCTGGTCTGGAAGAGTCAGTCTGAAGAGAGAAAGGGATGAAGGAAAGCCATCAGAGGAATCTCTTTCCTCCTCAAAGGCCCCTCTCAATCTGTAGCCCACCCCTATGGAGGTTGGTCTCTCTTTGTTCCCAAATCATCTGCAAAGATCTTTCCTACAGCTCCCCATATCAATCCTCCCTCACTCAAAGATCCTAATCCTCGCCACTCCTGTGGCCTGCATATACTAACTGTATGTGTGTGTGTATCACAAGTCCTCAAACAGGAGGATGTGCCCTACAGTGCTCGATACAGGCCTCTACACCCAACGTCCTGAGTATTCTGATCCCCCTACACATGCAGCACTTTGTCTAGCTTCCATGGTTCACCCACCCTCTCCCAGTGCCCTGACATACCACCTGAGCAAGGCTTTCGGAAGTAGATGATAAGGACAGTGCCCACAATGATGCCCAACACACCCAGGCCAAAGGCTACGCCACACAGCACATTCTCTAGAAGATCTGAGGGAAGAGCATTCTGGGGCACTAGAGAAGAAGGGGAGCAAGTCAGCTTGGAGGCATGGTTGGGGAGCTCCAACCCAGGGGAATGACATGGCTATCTGGAATGACAAAGAAGAAACTGAAGATTGGAAGACAGGTTAGCTCAGAATGAGAATAGATTAAACAGGTTCCAAGTAGAGAAAGAAGACCCCCTCCCATGGGTCTATCACTTTTTGCTCCCAAAAGGAACCAAGCTTCCAGGGAAAAGGGTCTTACCCCAAAAGGCAATTGCAGTGTAGCGATCAATCTCATGGGTCACAATGCAGGAGAAAAGGTCAAAGGGTTCAGGTGTGAAGTTTAAATAAGAAAAGGCCTGGAAACTCAGTCCATCTGTAGCTGAGACAAAAGTGGGCCCAACTCCTTCCACAGGGACTGAATGATGCTGCCAGCTCACTGACAATGTGGGTGGGAAGAGATTACTGACAAAACAGACAAGCGTGTTGGGCTTGCCATACTCCAGGGGCTTCATCGTGAACACCTCAGCAACAGGAAACCCTGGTGGGGATTGAGGAACAAAAGAAAGAAGGGAGTAGTTTAGATGGTACCTTTGTGTCATGTGGGGGGGGGGAGGGCAGAGGAGTCAGTGGGGATGGGCTTTGGGAAGTGGAAATGAGCAGGGAGCTGGGGCCCTGAGGAACGACCTCTTCCAGGGAAGAACAAGAGCTGAATGTGGAGGCAGAGCCAGATTCAGGGCTTTCTAGACCCTGCCCATCTGACTTCCTTTTGCATTTCCTGTCTAGACCTCACATTGGCATCTAATTACACTCTGCATTCTCATTAAAATACAGGCACATCATCCAAACTTCCATTGTTCTCTTCTATCTTGCTCTGGTAGCATAGTCCCTAAGGCACTTGACTGCTAACCAGAAGCCTGGAGGTTCAAACCCACCAGCCACTCCTCGGAAGGAAGGTTGGGCAATCTACTTCCGTAGTGATACTGCCTCAGAAACCCAAGGGGGTTCACTATGAGTCAAGTCCTACTTGACGGCACATAACAACAACAACAACAACTTCCATATTGCTAGGGTGGGATGCTCTTATTTAAGTCAACACCCTTACTCAGGTCAAAGACCTGATTTGATGGAAGGGGAGTTTCCCTAGGATGTGGCCTGAATCATGTTTTACCTTACAAAAGTTAAAAGGAGAAAGAAGCAAGGAGAGAGAGAGGGACCTGACCACCACCAAGAAAGAAGAGCCTGGAGCATAATATGTCTTTTGGAACCAGAGTCCCTGTGCTGAGAACCCCTTGACTCAGGTAAAGATTGAGGCCAAGGAAGACTCAGGCACACAGGTGTTATAAGGAGACAAGGACCTTTCTCCAGAGCCAATAGCAAAAGCCCCTAGAGCCAGTGCTCTGATTTTGGACTTCCAGCCTCCTAAATTGTGAGGGAATAAATTTCTGTTTATTATAGCCATCACTTGTGGTATTTCTGTTATAGCAGTACTAGATAACTAAGGCAATAATTATCAATCAATCAGTAAGCATCATTTGATTCCTGTTGAATTCATCAAGTTCAACCAATAGGTTTAAATGTCTACTATATGTTAGGGATTTGTCTTCTGCTCCAAAACACAGTGCAGACTGTGACTGGTAGAAATATAAAGGTCCTTGGGGAGAATAAGAAAGGATTAGAGATGGGAGCTGGTGTGGAGGGGAATAATTTTGTGTCTAGATTGAGGTTAAGAATGCCAGCATCCCCACCCTTCACCCCCACCATTGGCCTAACCTCTGGACACTGGGATTTTTCCATCAAGTTTTGGGCCTATATTCTCTATCATTGTCTGGCACAACTCTTTGTCAAAAGAAATGGCAGAGGCGTCTCCCTGATCCTTAGCCCAGTCAGCAAATTCAGGCAGGCGAGCCACACGGATGCTCTGGGAAAAGTCATAGGAGAAAAGCTGGTCCTCGTCATAGGCCTCAGAGAGTCCCAGTTTTGGATTCCCGTCCTGGCAGTACACTGTGTGCAGGAACGTGTGATTTTGCAAGCCATCCCGCCACACTGGAGTAGGAGCTGCAAATGAGATGAAGAGGAATGGTTCAGGGGAGTAGGAGCTACTTCCTTATTTTTTAGCCCAGAAAACAGCAAGGCCTGCCTTAGGAAGGGGAGCAGAGGTAGGAGCATAAATATCTCCCGTGTCTGTTATTTAGGCGCCTCCTCCCAGTGGGAGGGAAGAGGAAATTATAAGAGGCACACAGGATCTCTCCAAACTTCCCCTACCCATAACAAGTTCAATTTATCTACTGTTTAAAGCAACAGATTCAGTCATCATGTCAGTTATGTTGTTTGTGCACTGCACAAAGGCACCCAACCAAGGAAGCAAGTCAAGGCTGAAATCTAGTCTGCACTCTGCTCACCAAGCCATGCATTTTAGCAAAGGCTCCATCCTCTCAAAGAGGATATTTTTGTTAGCTGCCGTGGTGTCGACTCCCAAATCATGGTGACCTCATGTACAATGGAATTGGACCACTGTGATCTATAGAGTTTTCACTGGCTGATTTTCAAAAGTACATCACCAGGCTTTTCTTTCTAGTCTGTCTTAGTCTGGAAGCTCCTCTAAAACATGCTCAGCATTATAGCAACATGCAAGCCTTCAATGGCAGATGCGTGTTGACTAAGCCTGAGGAGAATCCCTCAGGAATTGTATCTGGGTCTCCTGCATGAAAGGCGAGAATACTACCCCTGAACCACCACTGCCCTTCCCGAAGAGAAGACCTTTGTCTAATTCATGTAAGGCTACCACATGGACAGACTCCCAGAGCCTTATAAAGGAGTTAGAAGGAATAGTTATGGCATCCCCAAGCCATAAAAGTGACACTGTCCCACTATATTCCAGATCCACTGGAAAATTAGACTGTAGGCTTCTCTTAGCTCCTTTCATTGGCATGAGTTGTCTCTGAAAATGTCTTCCCTTATCTTAATCCCTAATGCTCGGCAATGACAAGATTTGTGGAAGTGATTCCCCTAGATACATACAGGAAATAATCCCTACTATCTAAAACCCCTTACCGTAGTGATACCACCTTGGAAACCCAAGGAAGGGTCGTTATGAGTTGGGTCTGACTCGACAGCACATAACAACAACAACAACATCTAAAACCCCTCACCCAGCAGGAAATCTTATACCCAGCACTCACAATAATACACATTTAAAATATGAAGGATCTTTGAGATTATTGCTCCATTCTGCTCCATCCTTTGCAGAGAAAGAAACTAAGGACAATAAGGGACTTCAGGAATCACAAGTTGAGTTGATGACAGAGTGCAGAGTAGAATCGTGAGTAAACTCAAACAAAAAACAGGAGCTCTGGTGAGTGGAAGTGTGGAAATAAATAACATTTGCTATGTTCAAATCCTTACTCTACCACTTTCCAAATGTGTGAAACTGGACAAGCTACTTAAAATCTTTGAGTCTCATTTTCTTCATCTATAAAGTGGACATCATAATTTCTGCTTCAGGAGATTGTTTTAAAAGGAATAACATGTAAAGCACCTCTGACATTGTTTGCCATCCATTAATAGTTGCTGTCTTTCCCAATTTTGCTATTGTTTCCACTACCCCCATAATACTTCCCACCATGTACAAAGAACAAGGCTCTTTTCAAATGCTCGGGTCTGGCTCCCTAGGTTCTAACCCTCTCAGGATTGAACTAAAGGTACTGTCATACCTGCAGGGGTGGCCCAGGACTGGGGCAGCAGACACAGAAGTTGTAACAGCCGTAGCAGCCCAACTCCCTGGTTGTGCTCATGATCCATATCTTCACACCACACAGTGGGCTCTGAACTACCAACCCAGCTGACCCAGGTCCCCAAACTTCCTTCCCAAAGGAAGTCTTAGATCATTCTATGTCAGCTCACTACCAATAGTTGCCCTTGTGTTTTTGGCTAAACCAATCACAGAAGTGTACTGTTTAACATCATCAGTTGCCAGGGAAGGACCTGGGGACAACAAGCTCCTGAAGACAGCTCTTTTACCAGGCCGGGGTGTGGTGTGTAACTGGGCTTGGTAGGCCGGCAGAGGAATGACTGCCTCCTGGTGGGGTTCCCTCTTCAGTATCGTGCTGCCAGCCTCAGCCTGCAACTGGACCAACAGGCTGTTCAGAGCAGTGCCGCCCAGTGGCAGAATTAGGAGAGTTCATCTTCCCACAACAACCCCCCAGGGTCTTTGGATTCTCCCTTCCTCCTCCCTCCCTCCCTTCCAGAGGCACTTCCCCCCACCCCCTCATCTTTCTCAGAATGGTTACTCTCCTTCAGGCATGAGCTCTAATTCATTCTGTAGAAAGTGTTGGGTATTGGACTCAGTGCTAGAAGCACCAAGAAGAATAAGGCCTTCAAAGAGTTCAAAGTCTAGTGTGTGTGTGTTGGGGTGGGGGGAGAGTCAATGAGTAAATAATTGCATAGTAATGTAATGTATTCAAATAAGAATGCACCAAATGTTTTGGAAGAATTTTATGGGGATGGAAGAACAAGTGGCATAATCAGGCTGGTTTCTAGGAGTCTGGAAGGAAAAGCAATTTGGCCAGCAGAGCAGTGAGGGAAGAAAAAATACATTCCAGGGCAAGGGTTGATGTGCAGAGGTCAAAGGTATCCAGAGCTTGTTTGGGGACTGTTTCATATATTCACATAGTCAGATGTGAATACTGTAGAGACTGCTCATGTGTCCTGTGTAGTAATTGGAGCGGGGAGGGTCAAGATGAGCTGGAAATTTAGGCAGGATAGCATAGGCCTTGGTACATCACAAGGAGAGTCTGGCTTTTATTTAGCAGATGATAGAGATTTAAAACTGGAGAGTGATACAATCATTTTACTATTTTAGAATAAAATTGTTTTGATATTTCCAACAATGGATTGGAGCTTGGAAAGAATTGAGGCGAAACTGCTGGTTAGGAGTTTGTAGCATTTTATATCAAAATTAAAAGTTGCATGCACACACACCACTGTCTCATAGCACTGTAGCAATAATTTAGGTGGGAAAAGATAGGGCCTGGATTAAATTATAAATAGAAGAGATGGAGAGGATAGAATTTTTAGGTAATTTCAAACCAAAAAAACCAAACTCGTTGCCGTGAAGTCGAGTCTGACTAATAGTGACCCTATAGGACAGAGTAGAACTGCCCTATAAAGTTTCTAAGGCTGTACATCTTTATGGGAGCAGACTGCCACATTTTTTTCCTGTGGAGCAGTTGGTGGGCTTGAACCACCAACCTTTCAGTTAGTAGCTAAGTGCTTTTATCACTGCGTCATCAGGGGTATTTAGATGATTCAAGTATCACTGCCTTTGAGTGGATTCCGACCCATACTGACCTCCATTGCCTTTCTAAAGAGGTGAAGTAGATTGTCTCATCTTCCTTTCCTGAGCAGCTGCTGGGTTTGAACCACCAAATTTCTGGTTAGTAGTCAAATGCCTCAGCCACTATGCCACCAGATCTCCTTGATTTTAATGATTAAACCAAAACAAACCAAACTCACTGCCATCAAGTGGATTCCGACTCATTAGTGACCCCTTTGGGTTTCTGAGGCAGTAAATCTATATGGAAGTAGATTGCCCTGTCTTCCTTCTGCAGAGTGGCTGGTGGGTTTGAACTGCGAACCTTCTGGTTAGCAGTCAAATAAATGCCTTAAGGCACTATGCCATCAGAGCTCCTTGATTTAAATGATTAGGAGGTAGAAATAAAGGATTTAACAATGATTAGATTGAGTTCTGGTGGCATAGAGCCTTAAGACATGTGTCTACTAACTAGAAGGTTGGTGGTTCAAACATTCTGTGACTCCACAGAAGACTGGGCAATCTACTTCTGTAAAGATTTACTGCCTCTGAAAACTGAAAGGGGTTGCTATGAGTTGAAATTGACTTGATGGCAGTGAGTTTGGTGTTGGTTTTAGATGGAGGAAGGTGAAGAGATGCAGGAGTTAAGGATAACACCTAAGTTTCTGGCTCAGGTGGCTGGGTAGGTGATCAGTGATGAACTGAATTGAAATAAAGAGAATGCCATAGGAGCAGATTTGAAAAGGAAGAGAATGAGTTCGATTTTGTACATGCTGAATTTAAGATGCCAGTGGAACAGCTAGATGGAGCCTTCAGGAGGCAGTGAGGTATATGCGTGAAGGTATGAGCTGAAGAGTCTAATTTGAGTCATCAGCACACATGTAGGAAAGCACAAGTGTTGAAGCAGAGACCATGGATAAAATCACCAAAATAGACTGTGCAGAGGGAGTGAGAAGTGAACCAAAGATATAAACTGCATGAGCTCAAACCCTAAACCTCACACCAACTATCATCCAGGATCCAGTTAGGAATGCAGATCCATTCTAGGTATTTCAAACTGAGAATTTAATATAGAGAACTGGTTACAAAGGTATTAAAAGGACACGAAGTGCAAAATGGAGAAAGAGGGTAGCTGGGGATAGAAATAGTAAAGAGTGATACCTGCAAATCAAAAGATGTTATCACCCCTGGGCTGGAGTCCATAAATCTAGACCTGCTGATGCCCTGTGGGAGAAAATATCATAGTGGATTCTGGATCTACTGTAAAGGTGCCACCCTCATCGAGGCTGCAATAACCAAGACCCAGGAGGCTAGAGTCTTTGCTGCTGTTACACCTACTAGAAACTTCCAGGAGCTGTCACACTGTAAGAGCCTAAAGCAGGAAGCTTCTTGGTTTGTCCTGCCTTCTGATCTCCAGGAGACATACAGCTTGCAGCTTTTAAGCCTACCAGTGCAGAACACACTATAGAGTGGTAGGTGTGGCACTGAGAAACAACAGATAATAACCAATATACTGAAATGTACCAATCTGTAAGAATCTGGTAGCATTAGGAGCATCCAGAAAGCTAAGAGAAGAACAAGGTGAAAGCAGATTTAGAGAAATAGAGGTGTTTCACGAAGGAGAGTAAGGTCACCATTATTAAATGCTACTGAGAAGTCAAGGAAAGACTGGAAAGTGTCCTTGGATTTGGTAATTATGAGATGGTTGACATATTTATTGAGAACAGTTTCAGTGTTGTAGTGGGAGTCAACTCCAGATTGTGGTGGGCCGAGAAGCAAGTGGGAGGTGAGAAAGAAACTGTCAGTATATATGTTTCAAGTTTGATGGAGAAGAGAAAGACAGAAGGGGTGGGGGAAGAAGCAGTGAGAAAGTTTTTATGTGGCAATTAAGTAATCTGAGAAATTAATCTATGTGAATATGGTCCATCAGTGTTTCTGAGACTCCCAAATCTATGTTGTTGTTGTTATTGTTACGTGCCGCCGAGTTGGCCCTGACTTTACCTCCACTTTATAAAGAAATAAGAGCACCAAAACCAACCAACCAAAAATACTTCCAACTTGGATATGGGTGGGTGGGATGGGATGCCAGGGTATAGGAGTTTGGTTATCAATGTGTTACACTCCAAAAAACAAACAAACAAACAAAAAAAACTCAGACCATTTTCCCAGTGTTCCAAACTTGTGTACTAAACCATCAGTCTGATACTGGGGAGATTCAAGTCCCTTAGGAAAGTAGGAAGGAAATTTATAACATCCCCAGAACTGTTAGGGGAGATAGATATATGGTACCCAATCACCTAGACCAGGGGTCAGCAAACTTTTTCTGTGAAGGGCCAGATAATAAATATTTTAGGCTATTCAGGACACCCGATATCTATCATGACTATTCTCCACTGTAGCGCGAAAAAGGCCATAGGCAACATGTAAATAAACGAAAGAGCATTAACTGTGTTCCCCAATTCCTCTCAGTTTCTCCCCACTTCTCTGGTATCTCCTCAGTCTCCTTTCTGGATTCCTTTCTTTCAGCTACCTTTTAAATACTGATGCTCCCTGGAGTTTTGTCCTCAATCTTTTCTTTTTTATGGACACTGAAACTTGAGTTTTTTATCATTTTCATGTGTCATGAAACCTTCTTTTGATTTTTTTTTTCAGCCATTTAAAAATATGAAAACCATTCTTAGCTCTGGGGCCTTATGAAAACAGTTGGTGGCCTGGATTTTGCTCACAGCCTATACTTTGCCTACTGGTGGTATAGTGGTTAAGGCATTTGGCTGCTAACCAATAGGTCGGTGGTTCAAACCTACCAGCTGCTCCGCAGGATAAAAATGTACAACCTTGGAAACCCAATGGGGGTCAATATGAGTCGGAATAGATTTGTTGTCAGTGAATTTGGTTTCTTGGAGTTCTATGCATATGGTCATGATTGGAACAGGGAAATCAAAGTAAAAACACCCTTTAAAGAAGAGCCCTTATTTATAGGAATGGCAATTGGTTAGTGAACACATTGTATGTGCCCCAGATACAACAGATTATTTGGAAGGAGATCCAGGGAAAAACAGGAAAAGGATTAGGTGGTAGAATTTAGGAATAAGTAGAGCAGACACTGCAACTATTGAGGGAGGAAGGGGAAAAGGAATAGGCAAAGGGATCCAAGTTCTCTACAGAATGTATGACATGGACAAGGCAGAGTGAGGAGAAATAGAACTATCTATCACTAAGACTATGCGAAGCGTAAACTGTTTTCTCTCCCTTCTGTAATCTACGCATATATTTGAACACTTATAGCTACTCTGGAAGCTCTGGCAGTGGGAGCCTAAGGCTAACCAAAAGGCTGGCAGTTCAAACCCACCAGCCACTCCTCAGAAAGAAGATTATACAATCTACTTCTGTAGAGATAACCGCCTCAGAAACCCAAGGCGGGGTTGCTATGAGTCGGATTGACTCCACTGCAGTGAGTTGTTGTTCCATCCATGCAGTCCCCCTTCCTGCCAGGACACCCCAACCTCCATAACAGATATCTCAGAAACCTTCTCTACCTAGTTTTGGGAAGTAAT